ACGGACGTATACAGAGCCTTGAGTATTGGCTAGAGATAGAGAGCCTTGAGTTTTGGCAAGAGATATAGTTTAAGAGGATCTCATTAGACTTTGAGTAGAGTGATCGTTAGAGTAGTAGCATCTAGATTTGTTACAATAATAATAATAATAATAACAATACAAAAAACTATAATCACTTAGCCATGTTTGAATAAACATAGCTCTAAGAAATTATTTTCTATGTAAATTAACTTAGTAGAGAGGGTGTTATAAAATTCATTCACAATCATTTTTATCTTAAATATATATTTGTTGATTACAATTTGAATTAAAATAATATTTGTAAGTTTTCTAAGTGCAGTTTTCATTCCATGAGCTTAAATAAATATCTTACGTGGTTTAAAGGCTAACTTTTATTGTAAATTCTGATGTAATGGAATATATTGTAGGTTAGAGACTCCTAGCGGTTAAATTTCTAACTAATCATGAGGCACACCAAACTAACCGGCGTGCCAGACGTTCGGGTTTCTTCTATTTGAAGTCATATGCATTCTGGTCTATAATTAAACAATCTTTAAACTTATGGATTTGTTTGTTTTATAATTTTCATTCAAAAAGTATATGCCAGCAAAAAAGTATATAAGAAAAAAAGGCAACAAAATTATGTTTAATAGGTCAAATTGTGATTGAAAGTCACAGCTTTCTGGAATATTGACAGAACCGTTAAATCCACGTGGAGGAGATATCCGACTCAAGAGCTAGTTCAAACTATGACACTAAAATAATCATCCAATTTTAAACCAGAATATTAAACAAATAAGAAAATTGGAATGTTAGCATATTTACTTTTTAAAGATATTTCTAATTGATAGGACATGCAGTCATGGTCACATGTAAATATAAAAATTCGTGTAAAAATAGAAATAATATATTCCTGTAAATTTTCCTTAGATTTGTCAAAATTAGTCCAGAAAAATAAGAATCAGATGTACTGGTGAAATCCGCGTGGTGTTTAAGTGATGAATGAGTGTTTAAGTGATGAATGGCTCGCACTCAATACTTGAATTTCATCATATAGAGCAATAATACTTTTTGTTAGAGGAGCTAGAAATATTATTACTGGAAGGTTAATAACAGTGGCGTAGTGGGGGGGGGGGTACGACACATGTTATTATATCAATTTTTCAAAGCCTATCAACTATATAAGTCTTATCTCGGTAGCTTTAGTAATAAACAAGTTATTAACCATTTCTGATTTTTTTTAAACACCAACACGCCGTTTTACCATTCTCCACCCTACCTGTCGCATCAAAAGAAATTTTTTTGCAAAATTTGTTCACAGCTATGATGTTGAAAAAGTGAAGAAGTTTTAGCGTTATAATGTAAGCCATTTTTAAAAGAAACCACAGGGGGGTAAACCCCCCCCTCCCTCCCAATCTTGATAAGGTTTATATAGATTTTAAACTTTAATTTATTTTTCTTAATACGGGTTTTAAGGGGGGTGCACATCAACCGTTAGGGGGTTGCCAAAAGTCCCCGCCCCCAAGCTAAACCTCCACTACGCCCCTGTAATTAATAATGTAAGATTCTAAATAATATTCCAGTATCTAAATCTTATTATTGTAAAAAGTATGCTTATTCCTAAAAGCATGACGAAGAAGAATCTTCTGTTTCTTTATTTATGTGAAAAAATTATATTGCGAAGGAATCTATCCGTTACTTATTATTTCCAATATACAAAATCCTTTCTTTTCTGTTTTCTTATCAAAAGTTTACTATTTTAATCCCTTTAAACCTTTCCTAATCATATATCTCTAACGTTTTCTATATCTCTCTTTATCCCTTTATCTTTCTATCTCTCTTTATCCCTTTATCTTTCTATCTCTCTTTATCCCTTTATCTTTCTATCTCTCTTTATCCCTTTATTTTTCTATCTCTCTCTATCCCTTTATCTATCTCTCTATCTCTCTATCTTTCCATCTCTCTGTCTCTCTGTCCTACATCTCAATATTTCTCTATATCTCTATATCCCTATCTCTCCAACTCTCTATCTTTCTATACCTCCATTTATCTATTTATCTATGTTTCTAATCCTCTATTTATCTATCTGTCTATCTATTTATCTCTTGCTGAGATATAGACAACTTTAACACTTAGTCATCAAATTTTTAGACAGCCCCAACTTTGAAGTGTAGACTTAGATATAAACATTTTAAAAATGCAACGGGCTTATTTTTAGCTTTAGCTTAAAAGTTGTAATTGGCAAAAAAACTGCTTGATTTTTGTATGAGTGTGAACATCTAGGTTTTCAGTGCCATCTATATCTCTATGATTTTTTAAGTAAAGAAACTTTTGTAAATGATGAAAATCTCGAAAGAGGATTATAAAATCCGCAAATAAGTAGTGTCGTATTCTGGAACAAGAGAATACCTCCTTTTAAGACACTCGTTATTCATTATGTATTTATATCTATAGAGGCAATAAATGTACAAAGTGATGATCACGTCGGATTTTATAATCCTCTTTCGGGGATTCTCATTATTCTTTTTACAAATATAACTTAAAATATGTAGTNGTGGGAAGTCAAAGTTTCATATTTTAGAAATTGTGAAATGCAGGCCCGTAGGGGGCGGGAGCAAACTTTATGAGAAAAAAATAAGAAAAATGAAAAATGAAAAGAAGGAAACAAAAAAAGAAAGGTAGAAGGAAAAAGGGGGAAAAATTGGCCTAAAATCTAACTTTTGTTACCAACATTATTTGGGATTATTTTTTCTTCAAATTAAAGTAAAATTATGTGCTTTCTGAAATATTTTATTTGGGAGTTTGAAATATTTTATTTGGGAATTTGGAAATCTTGTCTTGTGAAATGAAAGGGTTTATAATATTTATTTTTTGTATTTGAATAAGCTTATCCTTTTCCCTTCTTTTATTAGATTAATGATAAGTTAATGAACCATCGTACAGAAAAAAACTGCGAAGAAACATGGAGACAAATTTAAATTATATACAAATATGGTCAGGAAGAAGAGAAGCTGTGTGAACATATCCTCAATATTGCAGGAGAGATTTTTTTCGAATTTTAGTTTTGAGAAAACTGATGATTTTCATGCTTGAACTTTTTTGATCTTTACAGGCATTTTCTTAATTTACTTTCCCTGTATTAAGAATAAGTATTCGTGATTCGAAATTTCAGTATTACATTTATTTATAGTTTAACTCAAATCTTTACTTTTTATACCTCCAGTTTTTTGTTTTTATGCAAATATCTTCTCAATTATTCAATAGCAATTAAGGGAAGGAAAACAGGAAAAATATTTATCTTAATAAACTATAATGTGTGATAAGTTAAAAATCTAGTTTTTTAGTCTACATTCATTAATTTTACCCTTGTTGAGTTTTCAGGTCAAAAAAAATTTTCGCATTCGGCGGGCCTCTTACCTCAGGGGATATTAGTTTCAAAACTAACACTTGGCCCATTTCTAACAAAAAGTGTTAGAAATGGGCCAAATCTACACAATTATCTTTTTCAAGAGTAAATATCTTCAAATCCAAGACAAGCAGAACAAACTACACCATTTATTTATATAAAATGGCTAAAACTGTATATTGTAACAATAAATGTCAATTTCAAGCTAATAATAAGGTGTGAGAATTAGTTTTTGATGATTCTTGATTTCATTTTTGAATAAATCCTTATTTTGAAACAATTACCGGATTTCAGCTCATGTCGCATTTTCGGAACTTATCCAGGTTTTGAGACAATTACCGGAATTCATATTAATGTCAATTTTTACTATTAATAGCATTTGTTCTTACAATATAGATTTAAGTAGAAAGGCGAGAAAACGGGTTGTATAAAATACATGAAAATAAATCATCGATATTCTCTAATTTAATAGATAAAATGTGGAAACTTAGATTCTAGAAATAATTCAGAAGTTAATTTAGTCTTCATAAGATAATTTTTATGAAAGTGAGTTTTGTTTTGAATTGTGGATTATACTCAAAAACGGGAAAGTGGGTTTTGTCTCGAAAGCGCGACAATGTTTCAAATTCAGGATATATTCGAAAATGGAAAACCTGACATTGTCTCGAAAACGGTCGAGAGATTTAATATAAAACTCCTATTATAATTTTGATTTAAAAAAGTTTAAAGTTGGGAATTGTTGTACTCGTCATGTTTAATAAAATGTTGGTTATAGTTTTTCTTATCGACTTCTACTCAGGATATGGGCCGGGATCCCAAAAACCCAGTCTTTCAATTTGAGCCCATTTCTAACACTAAGTGTT